TCTCCTATCAGATAAGGTGACCCAAAACTCATAATATACCACTGCGATGAGACATCAATGACAAACTGGTTAATGGGTGTTGTCAGTTCAAAGAAGATTTAAGATTAGTCACAGCACATAAAGACTTGAAATGTTCTGAAATCTTTCAACTCAGATATGAAAGAAACTGGATGAGAAATTTTTACAAAATGAAAAATAAATCCCACAGATTTTCAGATAGTTAAAACCTTTTTAAACTATAAATATGTAAAATTTCTTAAAAATTAACTAGAGTGAAAGGCAAGTTGAATCCTTTCTAAATAAATAAACAAACTAAGAGAATGCAGCTAAAAAAAATTAGGAAAAAATGTTAGAAACTAGACAGAAAAGAAATAAAATATTATATTATTTTATTGATTTTTCTGATGTTTGATACTTACCTTTTAAAAAAAATAATGTACTGTATTTTCCTCATTCTAAATATATATTTTTTAAATCTAAACTTTTCATTAAAAAAATCTAATTTAAAAATATTAAAGAATTCTATTCCCCCTGAAAATAATTTTAGCTTCAGGTTCTACAGAACCTGGACCCGCCTTTGGGTCACAGAAGCAGTAGTGCTTCTTGTCTTGCTAGATCAGAAGGAAGCAGGATGTCGGCAAAGGATATTAAATATTTCATGATTATTTCATTTTTAGAGTAGGTGATAACCTGAGCACTTTATGTGTATCAGAAAAATGCTAGCTCTACTGAAGAGATAGAAATACCCATGCAAAAGGGATACTTTTGGAGACCTTATGAAAATGGAAAGAAATGGGTTAAGACAGAGTGGAGAAAATGGCTTTCAAAGAGAGCCATGGAGAAGGGAAGTGGATTTTGAGTCAGTGTGTGTTGGGGGTGGGGCGGGCAGGAAGGAGTTCTATTTTTGAGACCTGAGTGATCTAGTTTCTCTAGGAGGCTAGGTTATCAACTCAAATTTCAGGGCAGGGGGGCTTAGCATTTTCCAGAGACTGAGCAGGTCACTAATAACTCTTGCAAAATGAAACTGTTAGGCCAGGATGGTGGTGGCACAGGCCTGTAAGTCCTGCAACTTGGGAGGTTGAGGCAGGAGTATTGCAAGTTCAAAACTAGCCTCAGCAAGTTAGTGAGGCCCTAAGAAATTTAGTGAGATCCTGCCTTAAAATAAAAAATAAAAAAGAGCTGGGCATGTGGCTCAGTGGTTATGTGTTTCTGGGTTCAATCCCTGGTGAAAGAAAGGAGGAAGGAAGGAAAAAAAAAAGAAAGAAAAAAGAAACCATTAATAAAGTGATGGATTTACTCTCATTTCCTCAAAGCCCTCCTACTGGTCATAAGTCACTGTACTCAGAGACCCTACCATGGACGTGGCAGTCACTAAGATGAATATGGAATTTGGAGATAACCCTGTTCTAATGTGCGAATGATTGCAGAATGCAACTGAGGTGGTAATGTAATGCTGGCAAGAAGTCTGTCAAGGGGGGACCTTGAGTTGTTGCCTAAAGAAAGAAACAAAGATTTATTTATACATGGCCTTATTCCACCCAGGATTTAAGGTATCTTATAAGAATGCATGCAATAAAATAGAAAGATGTGGTTCATAAATTTAAAAAAATCAAGGCTGGAAAAAGCATAAAGTATAGAAGAAAAGTCTTCAGATGTGGCTTGTTAGTTGTCTTCAAATAACTGAAGGGTTGTCAGGTGGAAAACATTTAGGGTTATTTGCTATGTGGGTCCAAGAGCATCATGGGCAGGTATCAGTTTGTTTGGGGTGCTTATAAACAACAGAAATGTATTTCTTACATTTTGAAGGCTGGAAAGTCCAAGGTCAAGGCACTGGCAGATTCAGTGTCTGGTGAGGGATCACTTTTTAGCTCATACAGGTGCCTTTTGGGTGTGTCCTCACATAGTGGAATGGACTAGACAATCTTCTGGGCTCTCTGACCCCACCATGAAGAATTCATCCTCTTTATTTGATCACCTTCTGAAAGTAGCGTTCTCTAAAACTTTCACTTTCAGTGGAAGGGTTTCAAAATATGAATGGGAGGGGGGTATACATAAAATGTCTACACCACAGCTGGAGAGGTTACGGTAAGGCAGATATCCACACAAGCTAAGGCCAAACTTTTTAACAATGGCCGTCTCATGGAGGAGGCATTTAAACAGAGCTAGGAAGCCTCTGTGCTGGCCTGCTATAGAAGCCAGTGGATGCAATGGGAAATACTGGCCCTTAGGGTCATCAGTTCAATGATTATGTGACAGGGACTGTTCCCAATGTTGCCCTATAAGTAATGAACTATTTTAAAATACCCCACACAGCAATAAAGTCTTGTCAAAAGTCACTCTGAGTATCTCTGTGACCTATAGTGTTGTCAGCCCACCTTGGAAATGCCACTGCAAATTGCAAACCCCAAACTTCTGAAGCAGAAATGAACAATCTGCACATGGGAGGAGAGGGTGAGGTGGCGCTGCGGATGATTATCAGCTCATCATTTCCCTGCTCTGTGGGTCATCGTTCTGCAGCTTAAAGAGCTATAAGTATCCATTCTCTCAACATTTGACAAGTGGCTGTTGTTCCCTGACACACGTCAGGCCCAATGCTAGTCCTTGCAGAGACCATAGTAAGAAAGCACATAAGGTCCCTGCTTTCAGAGTGCTTGTTGCTTAGTGAGAAAACTATCTACATGGATTAAAAATATACTTACAAATTCTGGCATGCCTTAGGAAGGAAGAAGAGTATTTCAGGAGAGTGACTAGCTCTAGAATCTGATGGAATGTGAAGAAAGAGCGTGTTTACTGATTTCAGTTAAGTAGGTGGGGAGAGCATGGGTGGGGGTTCAGATGGAGAGCATTTCAGGCTGCTGGGATGAATGTGTGCAAGACGAAGAAACATGAAGCTCTTGATGATTGTCCAGAAGGGCAGAGTGGAGCCTAGAGACTGATGTCAAAAGGAGAATGAGCATGTTGGGAGAGAGGGGCCAGGAGGTGCTCACACCTGCACCAAGGCTGCAAGTGCTCCAGAGAAATATAAAAGGCCCTTGGGGTTGACATAGTCATCTTTTGGACTAGGGGAGTGTCCAAATAACCAACGCACCCCACGAATGTGAGAAGTGCCTAATGAGGAGGAATGCCACTGAACTTCAAGTTAACTCCCTGTTACCTTCTGAAAAGGGATCGACAGACCTGCAAAAGACCTGGACTGATTTAATCTTCTTCTTCTTCTTTTTTTTTTTTTTGGTACCAGAGATTGAATCCAAGGGGCACTTAATACTGAGCCACATCCCCAGCCCTGCTTCTTATATTTTATTTAGAGACAGGGTCTTGCTGAGTTGCTTAGGGCTTTGCTAAGTTGTTGAGGCTGCCTTTGAACTTGTGATCCTCCTGCCTCAGCCTCCCGATCTGCTGGGGTCACAGGTGTGCGCCACCATGCCCACCTGGACTGAATCTTACAGTAGAGGTGATTTCATACGGTGACCTTGAGGTTAGTAGTAGTGATGAGAATATGGGAGAACCTCAAGATTTCCATGCCAGGTTGTCACTGACCAAGCCAGGGACTGTAATATGGACACTTGTGCTTCTTCCTGGCTCCCTTTCAGACTCCTAGGCACCTCCTAAAGGATCCTGTGTTTACGTCTTCATCTCCACGGATAATAACTACTCTCTAATTATCACATCTATATTTTACAAGAGCTAATTAGAAAGTGTCTGATAGTCTGGGATTTTCTGACAGAGGTAGTGCACAAATCTAGACCACGTGTCTGGGGATGATGGTTCCAGCTGAATCACTGTCACTGGTGAGAGCTGGGAAGTAGAAGCCTCAGGCCCCAGGGTCTCCAGCTATGTCAGATATCCTTATGCCGCTTCTCCAGGACCCCCATCTAGCCCATCTCCCAAAGCAACACTACCATCCTCTCCCACCTGCTCTCAGAATCTCAGTGTCGGGCAACATTGTCTAAATGCAAATGCTTCTGGGAGGAATCACGTGCTTTGATCTAATTCTGGATTTTAATTTAATAGTATTTAACTCTTGCACACACCATTTCCCTTTCAAAATGTGTTTTTCTACATGTTTCATTTAATGCTGACTGGACCTTGTGAGGTAGGTATCATCATAATTATATCCTGGGATGCTAAGTTACTGACCCAAAGTGAAATTGCTAGGCAGAGGCAGAGGCTGAGTGGGGACATTGCATTTCATGTTCCCTCCTTTCCGCCAGTTGTCCTCATGTGAAAGCAGGTGGATCTGTGTCAGGAGGGGAAGCCTGACGATGTGGCCAGCAGAGAAGATGTCCCCATTATTTCTTGAAGTCACAAACCATAAACTGCTGTCAATTTCTCCCCACTTAGTGCAGCTGTCAGAGCACAACAGCTAAGAGCACAGGATGTAGAGGGATATGGGATGGTATTTGAATACTGATCTGCAACGTCATTGCCTGTAACTTTGAGCGATTGGTTACAAATTGGGACAGTACCAGCACCTTTGTCATTGTGATGAGTAGATAAGTTGATATACACAGGTCATGGTTCTGAAGCATAGTAAATACTATAAAAGCATCCACTTGATGGTTCTTGTTGGGTGTGTGGGAGACTCCCCGCTGAAGTTAAGTTTCTGTCTGGAGAGAAGAACATCATGTAATCAATCCCGTACCCCTCCCCCTCCTATCCGAAGGGTGCCAAGCTGAAGGGCACCAAATTCAAAAATTTTTTCAACCCATCCCCAAGACTCGCTGTTCCTGAGTCACCCTGCCAATCAGCACCTGCCGCGTGGCCTTTGCAACTCTTCTTAAGCCGAAGCTTGCAAGAGAGCTCATACTCTCTGCCCTCTTCCTTTTCTTCCTCTCTCGCTTTCTCTCTGCTCTCTTCCTCATGCTCTCTGCTCTCTTTCTCTCCCTCTCCCTCTCTGCCCTCCTCCTCTCTTCTCTCTGCCTCTCCTTTTCTTCCCCTCCAGGCAGCCCCCCCCCCCCCCCCCCCCCCCCCCCTTCCTCCCCCCCCCCCCCCCCCCCCCCCCCCCCCCCAATAAAATCGCTTGGTTGAACCTCCGTCTCATCTTGGGTGAGTCACTCACCTTTCAGTACTGACATTATTTGTTGATTTCAGCGCTCAACTTCCTTGATTTCAACCTGGAAAGGGAAGGCAGATTTGCTTCCTGCTCCAGGTTAATTGGAAATGGCTAACTAGAAAATTGTGTTGAGAAGGATTCTGAGGTTTACTGTGGTCTGGGGTGAAATGATGAGCGTCTCTACATGGGTGCTGTATGATCGTGCCCTTTTCTGGAGAGCCCTCTGCAGGGCTTGACATAGTCCATGCTGTGCCCCTCAGCTTCCCAGTCTGCCTTAGGCATTTGCTCTGATTCTTTTTTCAGGAGCGGTCCAGCTATGTTCACACTAAATGTAGTTTCCAACTCATAGGGGCACTGACTGCTTGGGTGAGAACAAAGAATTTAATGAATAGGAACTATGTATGGATGGGTTCTAAGAAGAGAGTTTAGCAGGCCAGGCATTCAAAAATAACTGCAGTGCAGCCACCCTGGGTGAGCCAACACAGGATGTAGATTTCCATCTAAATAAAAGACATTCATTTTGAAGATCCTACAACAGCTGTAACTTGAGATTCCCACAAATGCTTGGAAATCTGTCCATCTTACCTGAGTGGTGGTACATATCCAAACAAGGATGCCAGTAAGAATGTGAGACAGTTTCTGAGAAGCAGAATCTGGATCACCCTTCCAAGAAGCCAGTGATCTGTAGCGCTGACCTAGCCTTCGAGTATTTGGGGGACAGCATTTTTATGGAGCCTATGGTTAAACATTTGCTGATCTCTCTCCTGGAAGACTTACAGAAATACAATAATTGTTATGAATGGTCTCCCAGAGCGAGGCTTCTCAAAGGTTCCATTCTATGATCTGCAGAGAATTCTAACAGTGTTCTCAGTGTTTTTCTTTTGCCTCTACCAAATTTATCAATGTCTTGGGTCATTATTTGCCTGATCACAACAACATGCATTCATGAATATGTATCAGCTAAAATCCTGCAATTTTATGTGTTAATTTGCTCATGTCTTTAGGTGTTTATAGCAATTAAATAAGACCTTGATAAATTTAGAGGAAATTAAAAAAAGCTTTGATATTATGAGTGTTTATGTGGTTGAATTGCAGGCTCTGAGATAAATTGTGTTTTGTGCAACTATTAATTTGTTGATTGGCTTATTAGATATTTTTGCATTTAGCTACATTTCTTCTTAGGAAACAAGTTGTCTCTTGGCTGCTTCGTTTGGCCTTCTGATGTTCATTTTAGCTTAGGAATGATCTAAGAGTGTGTGTGTGTGTGTGTGTGTGTGTGTGTGTGTGTGTGTGTGTCTGTTTTGTAAGAGCCAGTGTATTTGGACTATGTCAGAAACAGTATAACTTGAGTATAGAGGTTCTAGTTACCCTGTTGGTTGATCAAGTTTTTGAAATTTATTTTTAGTTAACAAGGGCAGCTACAGGGAGGAGCAGGGTCCTGTTGAAGTCTCACCAGGGAGGAGGGGATCCAGGGAAGGAGGAGCTCCAGTGATACCAGAAGTCACAGTGGAGAAGGGAACAGTGACCAAAAGTTCTGGCTGTTTGACAAGGGCAAGCTAGTCCTGTAAAACTTGATGCTGGGTAATTCTAGTAGGTGCAGTTCCCAAGACAGGGCTTGGTAGGGTAGGGCTTTGGAGCAGGGTCCAGGAAACGTGTGTCATCCTGGGAACCAGGGTATGCCAGGGTAGAAAGAGTACTGCATCTAGTTGAGTGACAGTGGCAGCAACTTGGTCACAGGCCATGACTCCAGGAAGGGGAGGAGGTGAGCTGTCAGATTTAGCAACTAAAATGCAGGAGGTCCTGTTAAATTCAAAATTCCAATGAACAAAAATATTAGGATAGCATGTTCCATGTGCTACTTTGGTATACTTATACTCAAACATTATTTGTTGCTTATTTGAGATTCTACTTTAACTGAACATCTCTATTGCATCTGGCAAACTTAGGTATGTGTGTTGGGGGGTGTTGTGGGTGGGTTGGGAGCACTGGGCAGCACTTGAGGAATCCTTACCAATCTGGAAATGATGGAGAGGTTGGCTGAGGGATGACAGGAGAGACTGAGGGAGATAAAGTAGGATGGTTAGTGTGTGTGAGAGACAGAGACACTCTCCCTGTGTAGACAGACATAAGGAGAAAGAGAGATTAATCCTGAATAATTTTATGTAGGTTTTGAGACTCACTTATTTCCTTAATTTCTCGTGTGTGTGTGTGTGTGTGTGTGTGTGTGTGTGTGTGTGACTGTTTTGTAAGAGCCAGTGTATTTGGCCCATGTCAGAAATAGGATATTTGTTGGTTTTCACATGAAATGCTCAAAGCTGTATGTACCCAAAGTGAGGCCATCTCACTAAGAATGAAAATTTCAATCTTCTGAAATGGTTATCTTGATAATACTGGACACATGAATGTTTGGAAACATTTGGATGATGGGTGTACTTTAAATAAAAACCACATGACTGAGTGCATTTTTCCATTTTTATCTAGATACTTTGGAATAATCTAGACAGCCAAACAGGCTCATCTCCAAGAAAGAATGTATCATCATAATGAGGTAGGAGATTTTCAAACTACTTTTTGATTTTTTTCCAGTTTTAAAAAAAAATATGTTTTCACTTCTTCAAATCACTTTAGTGATCTTTGATTTCCATCCTATCCCCTGCCCAGTTCATGGCACAATATTTGGCACATAATAAGTGCTGAATAAACTCTTTTAAAATGAATGGACAGGTAAGGGGATAGGTTATTCTTAAATAATTTAGTACAGAGATTATGCTAAAGCAATGAAGATCTCTTTGCTTAGAAGAGATGAGGGCAGACATTTATTGGGTGTGTGCTGTAAGACAGGAATTGGTCAAGACAGTATGTATCATTTGTATGCATGTATATGCATAAACACATGAATGGGTGTATACATGTATTCCTATAGTCACCTTGTGAGTAAGCACATGTAGCCTGCTCTACATTTGAGTAAACTCAAAAGTGGTTAAATAAATTGTGAAGATTCTCATCTACTAAGAAGGAAGGCTGATACTGATTTGTATGAGCTGTTTTCACATCTCTTAGATTTCATGTAGACTTCCTTGAATGATCTATGGTAATTCTTAATGCTTTGGGGAGCTTATTATCATTTTCAGAATTTGATGAAAGCCAGGGTGTTGTCACTGAGATACAAACATAAAAGGAAATAGTCCTAATTTTCAAAACAATGTGAGTTCCTCACGGACCCTTGATCAAGACCCTCATGATGAGAAAATATCAAATTTCTTCATCTAGATCCAGGGCTAAAGATAGAATTGGCCTGAAAGCAGTGCAGCCATGCACACTTATGTGACAGGAACCTTCTCTCCTGGGGGACAAAGGATCTGCCTAACCTTCAGAGAGCCAATGTGCTTCTTCCATCCCCAGTGTGATCACATAGCTCTGCAGGCAAATAGATGCTGGTTTAATATTTAAAAATCGTAGATTCTATAATTCCTATTTTCCCTCATTTAGTAATTAGAAAGCAAATAAACAACAATCACCATTTAGTAATTAGAAAACAAATAAACAATAAACAGCAATCAACAAAATAAAATTTTGTGTTGGGTGCGGGGTATGTCAGTGACGAGATGAAGCTAGTCCCTGTCCAGATTTACCATGAGGTGAAAGACCATAAATTTCAGGTCTCCTCATATCACAGCTTTCTGAGACCCTGGATGGAGCCTTAAGAATGCAGTTTTTTTTTTTTTGTAAAATATGCAAAATAAAGTATCTTAAAGGAAACGCTGCCTGGCCCTGTAGGAGCTGCGGGAACTTTTTTTTTTAAAAAATTTTTTAAAGGGGTGTGTGTGTGGGGGGTCAGTTAATTGGCATTTAATTTGAGTTCTGAAAGATGGATGGGTAGCTTTTTGGGTTTGGGTTTTTTGGCAAGGGATGAGCTGCATTAATAAGGGAGGGAACTTGGTGTCTAGGTGCTGGGAAGGGCTGGGATGGTTTGTGAGCCTAAACAGGGCAGCTGAGCAGAGAGGGAAGGGGAGGCTTGAAGGAAGGTCCCCCATAAGAGGGTGAAACGTGGGAAGCATTTTGATTACGTACCTCCCCCCTCAGCAGGGGAAGGTACTTGATCAGATTTGCAGTTAAAAAAAAAAAAAACCCAAGACATAAAACAAACAAACAAAAAAATAAACAACCCACTCTGACTCTAGTGTGGAGAATGGATTTGTTTTGTTTTGAAAAATCTCCACATACACCACCTGGAACACAGCTGTGACTTGATAAACAAGTGGAATATTCTTTGGTACAGTGAGGGGAAAATAATTGTCTCCAAGGCCCTGTATCTTGGTCTATGAGAGGAGCCTGGCCAGCAGCTGATGCACTCAGTCAGAAATGTGCAGGTGAAATTAGGGCAGCTGATTTAACAAGTGGGATCCTATGCTGTCCTTTGCAGATGTGGGTACGAGTGAGCGCTTTCCCGGCATCCTGCATTCTTTCTGTGTCCCAGCCCACGTTGGGTTGGAAGCAGCGAGGATTGAGGGAGACTGCTAGTGAACCCAACGTTCAGAACCCACAACCTGTGGTGAGGATGAGGATAAGGACAGTGTCAATGTCAGTGCCCAAATCACCCGGGCCCTTTAAGACGCCCTCAGAGCAGAAGTGACTGTTTAAGCAGAAGGCCAATAAAAACTGGTTAGTCCTGCAAACTGCAGACAGATGGATCAAATCGGATCTCCAGACTTCATCAGGCCGTTGGCCTTCGTTATCTTGCCAAACCTGCCCTGGTTTCAGACCTATCTCTGGATCTTTGCTATCATTCATCTTCCTGGTTCTGCTTCTTGGGCTGGTTTTGCCCTAGACGTCCCTCTCCTACTCTTCTCCTGGAATGGTTCATCGTTCTTACTGTCAGGGAGAAGGCTTGATATGGACTTGACCCAGAGGTGGCTGTCTGTCCAAGCAATTCCACATTAGACCAGCACTGAGACTGGCAGTCAGTGTGGGGACCTCATGGCCAGTCCTCCTCCGAGGCACAAAATTAGTCATGGAGGCCCAATTCTGTGGCCCTGGATGACCAGGAAACATGATAATCACTAGAAGAGGGTGTTTATTAAGTGGAAAATAAAATATATTTTAGGTGAAAAACAACTTTTCACGCTCAAAGAGTAAATATAATTATCCACAAAGTTAACTAATGATATAACATTTGATTTTTATCAGCTTGATAAATACAGAATTAAAAAATTTCATATCGATCTGCCTCCATTAAATAAAGCTCAGAAAACAAACGTGATTTCTAAATTATCCATAGATTTAGCACAAAGTCTTGGCATGGAGGGTTAAAAAAATTTAAATTCTGGGGTAATCAGGAGTAAGGGTTTTAATGTTCCCATTATCTTCCACGATGAAAAGTCTTAGTTCTTTGATTAGGGGAGGCATTTTGGATTTCTGTTCTTTGGAGTCCAGAGGGGAATGGAGGAAATCAAAGGAAGGAAGGGGCCGAGGCAAACAGGAGGGAGGCAGGGAACCCAAAGGAGTGTCGGGGTGGAGGGGGTGGGAAGATGGCCCTGAACAGCTGCTGCTGTCAACCCTGACCTATTTCCTCGAGCCCTGGGAGCTGTCCCTGCTCTCAGCAACAGTGACACTGCCTTCAGGCGGCTCTGTAGCCAAGCCACACCAAGTGATAGCTGTCCCTGCCGTTTTCTTAAATGTCACCCGTGAAAGCAACATTTCCACCTCCCTGGAGCACACACACTCTGCTTGTGGCTAAGTGGACACTTGGTTCCATTTTCACAGCTTCCAAAAATTGGTCACAGATGAGTCACAATTGTGTCAACTTCTCTGGTGTGAGAAGCCATAGATGGAGGCATCTAGAAATGATTTTTTTTAATGTGATGTCCTTTCTATGTGGCAGTAAAACGACTTTCCTGCCATCAGGAGAAACATGTGCTTTGAATTATTTTTAAAGCTCTAAAGGCAGATCTGTAAAAGGCAATCTGAACCTGATAGTTCTGTTTCCATCGATTCCATTCAGAATCCCATCCATTCTTGGAAGTGTTGGGGAAAGGAGAAAGGAGGAAGAGCATAAATACAAATACTGGCTGAATGCCTGTGAGGGCTTTGTGTAATTAGCAGACATTAAAACATATAATCTAAGGTCTCCAAGCAAGATAACTGTCCACACATTTTAGAACATGTTTGACTCCTATTTTGAGCCCCTGCTCGGTGCCAGGGCCTTATTCCCAGTTGATTCAGGAATTCTGCCCCATTTTCCCTGGCATGGTGTCTGAGCTCTTGAGGAGGATGCTGGTACTGCAGAGCATGAGACGTTGGAGGACCCATCTGAACTTGACAATGAAATGAGAGAGGTTGTTGATCCTCTACCCAGCAAGATGCTGGGTTGTCCCTTATGCCCACTCACTGGATCTCTTTTAGTTCCACTTATTCACTTGCTTCTCCTGAGTCAGATGGGATGTGGGAAGTTCTCTGAGGCTATTTGAGCCTGGACCTGCCGCCTGGCACTCTCGGGTACCCTGCTGCTTTCCCTCTTCTCATGGGACCCAGGGTGACGGGTAGTGCTGCCTCCTCCTCTTCTGGGCTGCTCTCTGGCCTTACCTCAGTGATCTTATTTCATCCTAACCTGATGCCTGGATATTTGAAACCTCCATTTGCAAAGGAGAAAAACACGATTCAAAGTAGCTAAACCCTCCCCCTTGCTTCACAAGTCCAAGTGGTCAAGCCCAATTCACTTTCCAACTCATATGGACCCTTTCTCACAGTGACTACCAATTCCACTTGGTCTCCCACTTCCAGAAAAACCCTTCTGACCACCTAGGAATAATGTCAATCTCCCTAGATGTTCTATCCCCTTTCAGTCTAAGCCTTTGGGGGTGATATTTAACCAACACAGTTCTTCCTATGCTAGTTATCTATGCACCCATCTCAGACAACCCTAATTAGGCTATGGCTCCTTGAAGGCAAAGACCACTTGAGATTCTCTCCATCCCATCCACTAGCACCATTCTCTGTTCATGGTATTTGTAATTAAGATTGATTATAACAACAACAACAACAACAAAACATTGTGTTCACAAATAAATTAGTAAATGGATGAACCTCTACTCTTTATAACTATTTGTTCTATTTGTGTGGTTATGCTGTGATTACAGGCCGGCTAACAACATAGAGCCAGTAGGTATTTGCCCTCATCTGTCCTCAATGCACATTGTACCTTGGGTAGCACATAGCTCCAACAGTGATGTGGCTTTATCTTAGGCTTATCCTTGTGCTCTGCCTAAAACTCTGTTCTTCCTACCTCCCAGGCTGACTTTTTGATTTTCCAATTTTCTGGCTCTATGCCTTAGATCTAGTCTATAGGTTTCTGCCCATTTCTTTGTTAAGACATGTCATATAGACCCTTTGCTTGTTGATTCTGGGAGCATTGCAGCCTTCTTGTAAGACTGAATTGCCACTCTCTGTGCTCTTTTGATTGCCATGGCAGCTGAGATTGTGGGAGCAGACAGTGCCGGAGCCAGCATCAGGAGTCTTCTCACTGGCTGGGAGATTGCTTACTATTTCCCT